TGTATGTATGTATGTGCATATGTATATGTATATTTATATACATATACACACATACATGTATACATTCATCACACATGTGCGATAATATGTATGTTTTACGTGCACATACGTATACGATCATAGGTATGGATATATTATGAATGTAAGATTGACGGACTCATACATGCAGACAGACAGACAGACAGACAGACAGACAGACAGACAGACAGACGTACCTACATACGTACGTCGGCAGTACAATTCAGTAGACTGCAAGACGTGACATACCGCGTATTGCGATACCTCACATCACACTACACTACGTGACGTCATATGAAGTGACATGGAGTGATATTGCACCGCGTAGAGTACTCTGCAATACATTACACGGCATTGAGTTGCAATACAGCATGCGATACATAACGTACGCCTACACAAGCACATGCACGCATCCATACATATACACACAAATACACGTACACATGCACATAGACATACATACATGATCATACACACATGATCATACATGCATACATTCACACACCAAGCCTCAGCCCATCATCCCGACACTCCGCTTCACGAGACTCACAGGCTGCTTTCTGAACGCAGGCCGAGGCCGTGTATCACAGAAATATTGAGGCCTGAAGAATCAGATAGAGCTATATTGGGGTAAGTTCTACTCTCTTTCTAAAGGGAACCCGAAGGAATGGCTTTTTTATATATTCCGAACCCGGAAGTAATTCAAAAAACCTTGGAGTCTACAGGAAGATGGTCCCCGGTGCAGGGCCTCCTTGGTCCACCGCAGGGAGGTCGCGGGCCTCTCTCTTCTGATTGCTTTCAATCTCCTCGGAAGCAATTGATATGTTACGTATGTTTCTTCCCTTTTCGGGTTCTTTTTGCCTCCCACCGAGCTAGGGTTTAGGGTTTAGGGCTTCTCCGCTGAATCAATTGGTCAGTTTAGCCTTGTTTAAGCTCGGGTTTCGTGGCTGCCCATCTGAGTTCGGGGTTTCGACTCAAACACTCGCACGAGGCTGGCATGGATGGTTTGTGCTCTCGCACCTCGGCGCGGCCTGGGTCCTAGGGTTTCGGGTCTAAGGCTATGGGCTATGGATGTGTAAGGATCTCACCTCCGGGTCAAGGAGGTAGTAGGGAATTGGGGAGTGACGCCTGCTGGTACTCCCTATAGACCCCACTTGGTTGTAAAGTGGCTCACTATGTGGATTACTCCAGGGATTGTGGCCAAGCCCTCAATCCCTACAAGAAGTCAGAAACGACTGTAGCCGGCGCCACGCCAAAACAGCACAACGCACGCACACACAACAAAAGTTGCACTTTTTCTGTTGCATTCTAGGCTTCAAGAAGCTAACCTCCATCTACAACCACTACACCCCCTGTAAGTAAGTGCTGAAGGGCCACAGCACTCTAAGTTGGATCCTGCCCCCACTCTGTATAGGATTGAAAATATGGCTATATATCCATATGAGCCCCTCAAATAGACTGTTACAGGGTGGGGGCAGTACCCGAACTGTAACCCTAAACCCTCACCCCTAAACCCAAACTGTAACCCTAAACCCTAAACCCCCATGGAGCACCCCAAGCGGTGAAAGCAAAGCGTCCTGCTGCTGCTGCCTCTGCATGCGCTCGCGCATCTCGAGGCCTTGTCTTTGGGCGTTCGTGGTAAACGGCTTGCTGCTGAATTCTTTATAGGTTTTTAAAGCTAGGGGGGGTTCTATAACTTTTTGCGTCTTTAGGGTTTGGGATTTAGGTTTCTATATTAGACTTTTAGGATTTGGGGTTTACAGATCTGATCTAAAATACCCGAGACCCAGAAACGCTAAGCCTGTGGAACAGTTTGAGACAACATCAGGATAGACTGATAGACACCAGAACCCAAACCATCGGAGGTTTAGGGATTGAGGCTTTGTCGCCTTGATGGACAGCACGAGGGCCCGAATCCGAACCTGCAAGTATCTCACTTTTTCTTTGCTCGAAGCCTCAAGCCTCAAAGCCCTATAAAGCTTAAAGACCTAATAGTTCTAACAACCGTCAAGCCCCATGAGCCTCACGCACTGGCTGACTGCTGAAGAGCCCCTACCTCGCGTAATCAATGTACTTTGCCGCGACCGAAAGGTAAGGGACCTATGTTCTAACCAATCTCCCAAACTATTTTTCACAGGTATCTTGGTTACCTTGACATACCTGTCCAGTTCCACATGGGCACGCACGGCTAGCATTTGGGATTGATTCTACTATCCCGAAAGCTCAAAGGTTACTTACTCTACGACTCAGCCCAGCGAACCCTTATAGCAACTATGGAAACCCTTATGGTCTCATAGAACTCTTTGGTAACCCGGATCGTAAGCCTCCACGAAGCTTCAGAGCCCTCTGGGCACTCGGCGCTTGTTCATCTCCACACGCTGTTCCACCAAGGCCTGGCCCCCAGGGGTCAGGCAAAGGAAGAGAACGTTGGGATTCAGAAGTAAAGGCCTATTCACGCAACTTTCACCGCTCTCGAACTCCGCGCAAGGGTCCCTTGTTTTCCGAAAGAGTCGTCTTCTGGCTTCTGGGACTTGGGCGGTTTCAGGTAAAGTTGATCAAGCTTTTCGCCCGTCTTAAACTCTTAACACTAAGTACCCCACTTAGATAGCTTAAACCCTAAACCCTTGTGAACCCAGACTCTGCCGATCAGCTGGGAAGCAGCACCTACCTATAGACCCTTTTTTGAACCCAGACTCTGCCAATATTAACCCTTTTTTGGCAACAGGCTTCGTACCAATATTAACCCTAAACCCTAAACCCTCCGGCCTTCTTCTCTTGGACCTCTTTGTCGCGCTGGTTCCTCTCCTCCATGACCCCCTGCTCGAATCGATGGAGCCTGGGTCATCGGCGACGTATGGGACGCAAGGGTGGCCTTTTAGGGTGTAGAGGGCGGTTTCGGCTCACACTCCAACGATAGACAATGTGAAACATTGTAACAGAAAGAGACAGAGAGCGAGACAGAGAGAAAAACACAAAATGCAGACAACATCCCTCCGGATTGCAACCTGCTAAAACAAGCATCCCATGTGTAGAGCTTAGGGAGTTTAGGCCTTGCCTTGCAACTTGTTTTGAGGACCTGGGCCAGGTACCCCAATTACAGGTACGGCTAGGGGACACTTCTCCTTGTGAGAGACCGCTACTCGCTAACCAAAAGCTGAGCCATAAAGCCCAAACCACACCAACGAAGGACAAATCTTGGCAAGTCGCAAGGATCTCTGCAAACTAAGCTCTTTGTCTCGCAGCTACAGAGACCGGCTGGTTGCGGGCAGGGGTCGGTTACGTCACAGCGGCAGTTCTGATCTCCGCGAAGAGAACACACTTGCAGTCAACACACCCTGCAAAGTTCAAAGTAGGAAAGTACTCAGCCTTAACCCATTAAGCCTTAAACTCAACTCAACTCTACGGAGAAAGAAGGATCACTACTAACAGCAAACTAACAGTGGTAGACACACGAATATAAGGACTAAGAAGAGCTGCAACGTTGGCAACCCGAAGGAGGAGTTGACTAGAACCAAACAAAATCTCCAAACCGGCACGCACATCAAGAGCTTCGTGTACACATCAAAGAGCTCTCAGGCTCCCAGCATACAAAATAGTACATGCTTCGGGGTCGCAAGTCTGCGACTGATAGATATCTTGGGTGCTATTTGGAGCCCCGGGCAAGGAAAAGCACCACGAATACCCGCAACATACACTAAACCGCTCCTGCACCAAAAGCGCCTGAAAACCAACAGCCCTAAATCCGAAATCACCAAAACAGGAATTCCTTCCTTACGCCTGAGGCCACCGCTCTGCCTGCGCCATCTCCTGGCGAACAGCCAGGTGATATGGAATTTATAAGAACCCTGCAGAAAAGTAGGTCTTGGTTCGTGGTTTAGGGTTTAGGGCTATAGGGGCTTATAGGGTGATTTGTAACCCAAAAGCCTTCAGGCTATGAACTACTTGTTCATGTCTTGTTCGGGCGCGCTCGATCACCACCTGTTGGCCCCGACGGCAAGCTGGGAAAACAACTTGAAAAGCGATCAGACCTGTCTAAGGAGTTGCAGCTTCTGGGGTTTCGGAACTCACCCAGGCCCAAATTGGAACGAGCCCCACCAGACCGCCAAAACCGCAGCATAGCAACCATCCTCGAAGCCTGAAGCTGCGACGTCGTGCCTTGGCATGGTAGGCATCATGGGACAAGAGGAGCAGCTCTTCGTAGTCCCTCTCCTTGGCCTTCGAAAGATCGGCATGCGGAACATCATTCACGTTTGGGGTTTGTAGCTTAGGGCCATATGCTAGCCACTCAAGTCGCGGAAACTGTTCAAAATCAGTTTGAGGCGCGCTTCTCGGATCCCAGAGTTCCCGATGCAGGTTTAAGCAAGGCCCCCACCCAGCAGTCGTGAGTACAAGGGATGTTGGTAGTTGTGTCAAGTACACCAAGGTCGCTCTGTTTGTCTATACCATATCTAACTGTCTAACCGAACGTAGGGGGCTGTTCAACATGATTTCGGTGCCCCTCTTGGCACCCAGTGAAATGAGCAAGGATCTGCCGAATCTCGCGGACATAGCTTCAGGCTACCAAACACCAGCCCTAACTGTTGTCAATGTAGCCGAGTCAAGTCCATGATCCTCCGCTTGAAACTCCATGGAAGGGTAGGGTGAAGATTGCCTTTCTAACTTTTCTTCAATTCTTATAAGTTTGGGATGCTCCGGATTGGCTCGGGACGCCCTCAAAAACAGTTGCAAAGCAACTCCCCCCCATCTTGCCCTGGCATTGGCGTCCTCAAGCTTCAACGCTGGTCAAACATGAGCGTGCCGCCTGAACTAAACCCAGGGCAACCCGCCCAAAGCAGTAACGAAAGCGCCAACACCCCCTCAACCCGACAGCCTAATTGACATGACAGGTAAGTTCTGTTCTTTGCTGATCGGGCCCAAAGAAGTTCAGTTTTCGAATGTAGACCAAATAGACAAAGCCAAAAGTTTAGAGTTCTCCCACTGGCTAAGTAAGCCTTGAACCCTAACCCTTATAAGGAGGAGAACCTTCCCTGCACCTAAACCCTAAACCATGTTTTCAAAAGAGCAAGCCTTCAAGGTCCGCTCGATGCCGGCCAGCTGGTTATCGAAACCCATGCCTCGGGCTCACAGCAACAAGAAACCATAGGGTTCACAGGTTGTGGGTTTAGTGTTTAGAGTTCATGACTGGTTCATGGGTTTTGAGTTTAAGGTTAAATGGGTAGTTCTCTAATTTAGGGTCCCTTTTCGTGTCTTTTTTTTAGGGTGCCGTATCGTATTGCGGACCCAAAAAGGGACCCTGATTTAGAGAACTACTCAAATGGGTCCAGGGTTAAGGGTCCGGGATGTCCGACAGTCTGGGCCTTGCATTGTGACATGGGAAGGCTCTTGCCCATGGCCAGGTAAGTCCCGAACCGCGGCGCCGAACTTCTCAGCTCTAGGTGCGAGCGACTTGGGTTTAGGGTTAGGGTTTAGGGTTTAGGGCTTACACCCTACAGTGCTAGAGACCATAGGACTGGAGCCTTATAGGTTGCGGTAAGTGGGGCACTCTTGGACAAGCTGTAAGCCCTTAAAGGCCTAGACCCGAAAGCCCAAAGGCCCCATAGACGCCTTTGAAGTTGGCTTCTGTGGGCTCGGCCCACCTGGCTCTCAGAGCCCTGAACCCTTACGCACCACTAAGACCGACGTTTTCATCCAACAACCCTCACTACTGTGAGGGTTCTACCGGTTCCGGGCTTAGGGATCAAGGGCTTACAAGGTCATGCTACAGTAGAAGCGGGAAAGTTGGAACATCAATCTCATCATGTTCGTGAGGTAAAGTCTAATGGAATCCTAGCACTAAACATCCTGAATCCATGCTCAAACTTTCTGGGATTGAGCGCAGGGTCATAACCTACTCTTTGATACTTGGGTTTGGCACTATGAGACACCTCAAGCAGGGAACCCCAAACCCTAAACCCCTAAAGCCCGAGGGGGAGCTGAACGCTGCTGGGCTGCGCTCTTCCTTGAGCCTTCGAACGATGGCCTGGCCGCAGGATTCTCCAGCTGCGGCTTGGAAGTTGGCTCTTCGGATTTTTGTTTATTGTTCTTTATGTTTTTTTTTGTTTTGTTTTTTTTGGGGGGGGTGGTAGGTTTCAGGGTTTAGGGTTGGCTAGAGTCTGAAGGTTGAGGTTGGGGGTGTAGTTGTTCTTGTTGTTTGCGAGTTTTGGAGGCGCTCAAGGGTTCGAGTTGAGATTTATGGCTGCTGGCTCTCCGGCGAGCGACAGATTTGCAAGGGCTGAAGGCTCTAACTTGACGTTCGGTGGACTTTACTGCTTGGGAGAAGCTGAGTTCATGGACTGGGACAAAGTACAACTTCAGAAAGCCTTGATTGGCTTGCGCGAAAGGCCGGCTAGAGCTACGAAGATCGGCGACTCACAGCTTAAAGCTGTTGAAAGGCTCGTCACCAACCCATAGGTCAACAGGTCGGAAAAAGCTGAAGTAAACAGTGCCAGCGGCTGACAACTGACGAAACCAGTTGAAACGCGTAATTACTCAAATGAGCCTCACATCCAAACGGTTTAGGGTTTAGGGTTTAGGGCTGCAGTCCTGCCTCGTAGGTCTTGCGAATGCTCTGCGCCTCAGGAGAACTCAGAGCGAGCTCCGCACGCCCCCTCAATCACAACTGTGGATTCTAGCCAACAGCCTTAGGGTTTCCCCTAAACCCTAAACCAAAACTCTAAACTCTAAATCCTGAACCCTATAAACCCTAAATCCTAAGTCTAAACCCTGAACCCTGGATTCGAGTGCCGTGTGCACCGAGCCGTCTGCATCGACTTCGCAGTACACTCCGGCCCCCAAAGCCTAGACCCCCCTGTAGTCTCCATTGTAGTTCCTTGTCTTGGCTTAACCAATTAAAAAACTAGGATCCCATGAGGCAACCCGACAAAGGAAATACAAGGGAGACAGAACATAGACCCGGCACTGCTGCAGCTTGTTCAAAACAAAAACTGTAGTATAATTTACGAGAGTATGCTACAACATCCCATAATGCACTGTGATCTAGTATCACAGTATCAGATCCTAAAACATAGTATACTACACGATTCTTTGCTATCTCTTTGACCAGCCTCATTGTACTTGATCATCGTCTTGTCGAGGCGATTCTCCAGGACCTGGGCTGTGCATATCAACCCTCCCCGTGTGTTGCCGCATAGCTCACTCTCTGCCTCTGTCTCTCGCTCGCGGTCGTTCTCGATGTCTGTTTGTCTATCTGGTCTGGTCTGGTCTGTCTGTCCGTCGGTATGCATGTAAGCATGTATATGTGCGTCATGCCCTTTGCCTTTATTTCTGTACATGTGCGCCCATGTGCCAGGAGTGCGCAAACATGCATCTATCCAGCAATGCCTTTTCTTGTTGTTTGAGGAGAACCAACCAGGCACCCCAAAACCTAAACCCCAGTCACATCTCCATGGACCACGGATCCGACATCCCTGAACTCCTGCGGCAGGTGGCACTCTGACACGTGCCGAAATCTCTTTCCCAAAGAGTCCATGACCCACGTAGCAGACACCCGGGCCCGAAAGTACCTAACCCGGGACGACTTGAAGGCCAAGGTACATCACAAAAGAGTCATGGTACTTCCTACTATTTGCAACCCTGCTTTCTACTCTGTAGGTACTTTGTGCCCTTTGGGTTTCCCTGACTCCTATTTCAGCCTCGTGGCCCGGATGTGTCGCATCTCGGGGGAGGCCTGCGCGGTACTTGCGAAGCTCAGGTGGGGATTCAGGGCTTCAGTAGGTATATGCCATTTAGGTACTTAAGACCCACAGGGATCCGAGATAAAGACTTGAAGGACCAACAAGCCTTTAGCATGGGCCATGAGGCTGTTGAGGTGAAGCATAAATCCTTTTTGGCCTCATTTCATCCTTAGGAGGCTACACCCTGAAACCGCCTCACTCGAGTGCATGGTGGCACCCATGGAAAGCTCCGACATCTTGATGGACAACCTCAGGGTTTCGGCACTCGCACTGAGGATTAGGACGTCGGGCTTCGGTATAGGATTTGGGTTTGCGGTTGAGGGTTCAGACATTTCTGGATTTGGGGACTGGCAGATTTTGGCAAGAAGCAAAGGCTGCATGCTCCGTTTTGTATCCTTAGCCTCTGAGAAACCAAAACCAAGCGCGGGTCAGCGCAGATATGTTCACCAATGCGGCCGTACTAAGCCCCCCTCATGCAAACAAGGGTGTAACCTTTTGGGAGGCGTGCAAGTAGTACTTCCTTGGCTAAAATAGCCAAATATACGGGCCTTGACAATTAGAATAGGCTTTTGGGGGTTCCTTTTAATGACTATGGGATACAGGGCCCCAAAACCCTATTCTAATTATTAAGGCCTTTATGTAAAACCCCTAAACCCTTACGTGTCCCCAGGTCTCCCCACGCCGTACCACTCTGCAAAGAACCAGGGAACAGTTGCAAGCAGCAAGTGTCAGCCAATCAGCCTTCCATGGTCATAGCGACCATTTATTGTCTATGCAGCTAGAAAAGCAACAACCACAGCGATGCCCACAAAGTTTCGATGAGGCCCAGCAATGAAAACCTCACGATAAGCTTCTCGAACTCAGGGTACCATGGAAAGGTTCATGGCTAACGGTTAGCTTCACAAGAAGGCCTGCATCCGCCATCTCCCATTCTCCCCAAGCGCAGCATGCGCAAAGGGTTGCTTTGGTTTCGCGGCTTCGCGTATTGGGTTAATGCTGCATCGGTCTCTCTTGTGCCAGATCATCTGTGAGGAGCCCAGAGACATGATGTTTGCAAGAACACGGGACAAACTAATCTCTAGATACATGTTTTCCTGGCCTCAACTTGTAGTTGCAACCGGCTACAGCATAGTGTACCTAGCACACTACCGCAAAAACGAGTAAAAGATACAGTATCTATATAAGTAGTGACGAAATTGACTCTCATCCCATGGCTCCGAGCTGCCCTCAGTCGACCCATGAAAGCTGTACACTCTGCAGCACTATGTGCACTTCAAATCGCCACTTCGCATCCGGCATTCTCGTCGACCAGCAGTCCCTACGACACTGGGCTCTCCGGCTTCAATGTGCTAGTTGTGCTATGAGCCCATGATCTTGCACATTCCAGCGCAGCTGGCCTGAACTTCAGTGTTACTTGCGGTTTACGTAAGACACTACTACTAGCGGACCGCCCTGTGCTTGGCACTCATGTCTGAGAACGCTGTACAGGGTGGAAAACAGAAAAAACTGTTGCGTGCGCATGTCTACACCATCAGCTCCGTGCAATGCCACCTACATGAGTATGGACGGCTTACCTTTTCCACCTCCAGCACAGCATCCAAAATCATCAATTGCCGGCAGGAAAGAGATAGCCTGCCACCAGCATTGTGTGAAATCCGACGATGTGAGCGATCTTATTTCCTGACGATTCTGGCTAAGTCAGGTGTCACAGTACCAACATCTCTGACTAGATTCAACCAGCTCTGACGGGTTTGGGGAGTTGCAAAGAAACCAAGCACCACTTAACATCTAAGACCTAACTCCTGCAAACTCCTTGCAGTGACCTACAGGCTATATACTATATATATATATACACTATATATATATATATATACACTCTATATATATATATATATAGTGTACACTAGCTTCTGTCTCGCAGACGCGGCATCAAGCGCCCGAAGATCATGGACAAGCCCCTCCAAGCCTCGGGAGGGCAACAAAAGGGCCCGTCATCATTAGAATATGGGTGCTTGTCAAAATCATGGTCCCTTTTGAGGTACCCTAAATAATAGGTGCCGTATTATAATAAGGACCCAAAAAGGGACCCTAATTTAGAGAGCTACCCATATGGCTTGGGGTGTATGCTAATATGATTAGTAAGGAGCCCCTAAGGAATAATGACGGTAATTCTTAAGGCTTGGGGTTGAAGCTGATGAGGGAAATTCAAGCCGAGGGTCCGGTAAGTGGCCTCAATAGAATATGATACGATGTCGAAGGCACCAAGGGGTCCGAAAAGGAACTTCCAAGGGAAAGTATGACGGTGTGGAGTTCCGGCGATCATGAGCTGCGGGATTTGATGCTTGGATCTGGCTTAGAACTTTGGCACTCAAGGTAGTCGGAGCCGGCGTTCACAAGCTCTGGGGTAATCCAGGCAACGCTACCGGATCAACAGCTTATCTGCTTGCCTACAAACCTCGGGGCATACTTCAGACTCCGTGATCCACTTGATGGAACACATGCTGATGGACAAAACAGGCCCTTGTCTTTGTACGAAAGGGGGCCTGATATTCTTTCTATCCACTACCCGGACCCCCAGAACAATCTGAAAAATAGAACCTCCCCCCAAAAAAAAGGCCTATCTTAGCCCATATACCGGTAGGACACCTTCTTGGGGGTTCTATTTTTTTAGACCCTGTAGGCGGTCTAGGTGCGTGCAGCCAAGGATCTAAATGGTTCCAGAAGAGGAAGAAGGCAGCCACATGCTGATACCTGGTCCAGGGCTTCAAAGATAAGTCCGCAAAAATTGCAGTTAGTAGCTGAAAACCGTCTTAAACAAGCGCAGTCGATCTTGGGACCGCCATGTACGCATGAGATTTTCATGAAACTACAAGAACCCAAACAACAGAGCTCCTATCAAACCAGGCTGGGAGAACGGGCAAGACTTCCACCACAAGTAAACGGGACCGCTTGTTGAGACGAAAATCGATCGTGCTATGAGCCGGAGGCACTACAGCATTCCCATGCCAAACGCTGGATAGGACCCAAACCCAGCGCCGCCAGCGCGACGCCCACCCCTAGCTCAAAGATAACCCGCATGTAGAACAGCTAACAAATCCGAGGCGAAGAGACGCTCAGGCCAGCCACCCAACAGAAAAAAGCAAAAAAAGGCCCAACAACTCCAAATGCCACTGTTACTGGTACTGCTACCACGAGAAAAATAATAACAATAAGAACAGTAATACTGATAATCGCAACTGCCATAATCACAACAATCGTGCCAGTTTTTGGAATACAGAATAAGACTACTACTACTACTACTACTACTACTACTACTACTACCACTGCTATTATTATTACTACTACAACTACTACTACGACAACGACGACTACTCCCACTGCCAGTACTGCTACGGCTACGGCTACGGCTACGGCTACGGCTGCGGCTACTACTGCTATTATTATTACTACTAGTACTACTAGTAGTAGTAGTAGTACTACTACTACTACTACTACTACTGCTACTACTACTGCTACTACTACTACTACCACCACCACCACCAACAACAACAGTAACAATAATAAGTTTAATAATAGTAATAATATAAATAATGGCAACTGATGTCAGCAATAACATTAATTGTAGCAGTAATAGAAATAAGAACAATCCTAATCACAAAAATGGCAATGATAACAAGAACACTGATACTGACAATGAGCATAGTACTACCAACAAACATAATCATGACACTCAGAACAATACTAGTCCTTCTACTTACACTTCTTTTGAGCAGGGACTGCAATGCACTAACTTAGTCTAAGCCCTGAGCCCCTTCTACTTACACTGCAAGCCCAGCCACAGGGAGCCAAGGAGTCCTGGCGCACGCCCCGGGCTCCTCGCAGCAGGGGCCGCCGGCCTGGTCGCCGAAGGCAAAACTCAAAAAACCCTAAACCCTAACCATAAACCCTAACCCTAAACCCTAACCCTAAACCCTAAACCCCTAAACCCTAAACCCTAAAAACCCCGAACAAGCACTCTCAGGTGGACGTTCAAATCTTAAACTTACGGTTCGGAGCTAGGGTTGAGGGTGTTCACCTGCAGCCTATAGACACCTACCTCATTTTACGGGCTTATAAAAGGAAATCATTCATACGGAACCTTACAGGTAGTTTATTTGGGGCTACGGTTCGGGTGCGTTGGAGGTTTGGGCGCGCTCGCGACTCGGACAATCCAGGCGAGGCAGGCAAGGCAATGCAGGGTATAAGGTTTCTTGCCTCGAAGAAGGGAGTAGGACTTAGGGTTATTGCAAAGGTTACCATGAGTGTGGCGGTTAGGGTCACCATGAGGGGGACTACAAGGGTTGCTACTGGCCGCAGTAAGGGTTGCTGCACGAATATTTTGGGGTTTATTCGAGTTTGGACGTGCATAGGCCTATAGTTTAGTAAGGTTTGCCATAATATGGAGTCCAGCTTGCGCGATTCCCTCAAGCGTACGTCAAGCTCTCAGTGCTTTTATAGCAGACCTGTGCGGGGCTTCGACTGTCTGTTGTAAATATTTTGTTTTGGTGCCTGGCAGTCTAGGGATGCAGCTTGGCTTCGCGACGCAAAGAGCCAGATTTGCAAAAGACCCGGTAGTTAATGAAGGTGTAAACTGACCCCTGAACCCTAAACCTTAAACCTTAAACCCTTACTAAAGTCTACATCTCGGCAAACCGCAATGCGGTTAACTACTACTAGACTAGACCACCAAAATACCCTATAAGCCCTGGACCCCCAGCCTTGCACCCCCAAACCCGAAACCGTAAAACAGCCCCAAACCCCCAAACCACTAAACCTACCCGTTTGTGGGGTCCCGAGAAAGCATGTTTTGGCTTTTTTTTAGCTGGAACCCACAAGAACGTGGGTGATGATAGTTTCAAGTAAACCCCAAATCCCTTAATGTTTGAACGGCGAAGCCTCTGTTCTTCCCTAGGCGCCGGCTTCGCACCAGCGCTGGCCTGCCGGCTTGAGATTGCAGGAGCCATCAGGCAAGGTCAACACGCTGCTACGGATAGGGTTTAGGGCCAAGAGCTTGAGGGATTTATAGAAGGCTTTCAGGTATCGGGTGGTTTATAATTATGAAAATATTTGCGGCCTGAAAGGACTATGGCAGTTTCAGGAGTAGGTCGGCTGTATGTAGCTGAATACTCAATCTGAGTGCTTTGCAGTCCCAGAAAGTTTGAAATCCTGAGTGTTTCGGCTAGGGCCTTGGGTTAGG